GGTATTGTAAATTCAGTGTACCATAAATTGCAAGTTCTGGCGCGGCGGTCCAATATTGATAGATGCTAGTATTATTAACATTTTTATTTCCATAGTATATTAACTGTACTGAAAATTGTGTGTCCCGGAGTTGCAGAACGATGAAGATAGTTCTGTTCCAAGAGGAAGTTTTGGGGCTTTCTTGTATTAGTTGAAGAAAGTTCATATACTATAGATACTATAGAAACTGGAATAGTAGTTAAAAAATGACTAGATTCAAACTGCTTACATAGAACTAAGAAAGAAGTTCGTTGACTGTTCAATTTTTGATGTACGGCAAGTCTGTGGTTACTAAAATGGCAAAATGATTTACTCTTGCAAGGATGGTGGAAGAAGTTCAGAAATCCATTCTTCTTTTAATGATGCACATAGTACAGAAGAGGTGTATAATAGATAACAATTGATAATATAATAGAGATATAGAGCGATGGAGCTCACCCTGTCCTCGTGAAGTTATACCAAGCTAGGTTATTTTCTAAAGGACAGCGTTAATTATAGGGTTTAAGGTTTAGTTCGTAGCCGTACTGTATCGCAAGTTTGGCATATGCAAGAGCATTGTACCTGCGTAAACTTGAGAAAGGGTGGTATCGAACATTATGAATCGGGCATTCTTTCACAGCATCTTTAGAAGATTCCATCTCTAATGGAACAAGAAAAAAAGGAGTATAATAATAATATAATATAATACAAATATTAGCGAAATATATAGCACAGATATATTTTAATATTGAGAGTTAAGATTTTGTTAATTATATTTTTCATCTACCATATGTTAAAAGTACTACTAAAGTTTCTTCTACAAAATATATACCTTAATGCTTTTGAAATGCTTTATTATTCAAAAAAGTTATAGAAATATATTTGCTGTTTGCATATTGCAGAAAATAGCGCACGCAATATTCGCCTAGTACTTATAAAATTGTAATTTTTCGGTGGACCACTGTTTATTTTATTATCTTAATCTTCCTTTAGTTTAGAAAATATTTAGGTTAAACGTCCCGCTAAGATGTTTGCGTAAATTGCATAAATCATTCTTTGAGAAAATTAAGTTCTACTTTTATTTATGAAAAATGCTCAGCTGTAGATAAAGTGTTGCTAACCGAAATGCAATGCAGACAGTTAAGAAAAACGGACATACGGAAAAAAACATGGAAAAATGGAATAAGTGAAAATTTATTTATATTTACATTATTAAGGATTGCTTTTTGAAAATGTTGTGTAAATTAATTTTGACAGCAATTGTATACATCGCTCCCATTTGCACAGTTCCTGCTTAAAAAGCTGGTTGCTAGGCAGGATGCTGGCACAATTCGCACATCTGTCAAATTTAGTTTGACATTTCGCAAAGTAGACTGAGAAGTAACTGTTACATTTTCTTATAAAATGAGTAAAAGCGTACACCACAAATTGACAGCTTGATTGACAGTTAAGGAATTAGTATGCGGATCGATACCTACAAAGGGATATGGCATTACAAAAAAAAAAAAACAATAAAAAAATGAAAAAGTAGTGGATTGCAGTCTATTTATTTTCGTCGACTTTAACCGATATACATTTACATATAAGTATTATTTAAAGTTGCTATATCTGAATGAGCTATTAAATTGCCGGAAGATTTTTATATATTTTAATTTTCATTTTCTGCAATCTTTTTCGTCTTTCATTCATAAAAAACCCTTATAAAAGTTGTAAGTAAAAATTTCAAAAGTTTCAAGTTTATTTGTAAAAAGTTTTATTGTAATTTAAGCGAAAATTCAAATCACTTACAAAACAATATCAACAAATAGAAATTGATAGGAGTGTTGAAGCGCAGCAATTGATATCTTAAACTTTCCGAACTTAGATGAAATAATATTAACTTGAATTTTAATTAATTCTAGTTTATTTGAAAGTTTTGGACCGTAAATAACACAAAGACTACTGAAAACTGCAATAAAGACTACATTAAATATTAATCAGAAGCAAAAATAAATATTCTTTGTGAAGGCCAGCAGATTCATTGACAATGTTGCCAAACGATATTTGTTGAACAAAAAATATAAGGAAAAATTAAGAAAAAAAATAAAAATGAAAGTAAAATAGTGATGCCACCTTTCCGTGTCTCTAACTTACCGGTGTGCACGTCGCATACCCTTTTTATTGAGTTAACGTAGAGTAAATAAAAAAATATTGTCATTTCCAGCAGAATTTGCTGATCTAACGAGTATGTTGATATGTACGAGTGGGTATGTTCAGTACGTGGTAGAGGAAACGCAAACGGATGTAATGGTGCAAAGCAAAAACGTAAAGGCAACTCTAACATTTCTCATTTCACTGTAAACAACAGCAAAAGCAATAAAAACAATAACAACAAAAAAACAATAAAAACAACAAACACTCTGCTAGCATCTAAATTACCAAAAAGTTTGCGAACATTTCCATTTCGCAACGAGTGTTGGCTCGCTTCTATGAATATTTTATGAGTTCTATTTGTTCTATTTGTGGACATTTCCAGCGGCACCATGTCATTGAGCGCTCCATGCTCCGTAGCTCTACACAAACAATGCTCTATGCATATTTTTTAAATTTTGCAATTTTTGTCCTTTTGCAATTAGTAAAATACTTACTACAGCTAAAATAGATAAAAAATAAAAAACTCAAAATGGAATGAAAATGGAAAAGCATACCAGGATTTGTAATGCTTACTTTATTCGTGTTGTTGTTATTATTGTTGTTGTTGTTGTGTATTTGTTATTTAGAGAGCACTCGTTACAGTAATTAATAAATACTATTTGAGTTGTTAATTGTTTGTGATTGTTACGATTTTTCCATTTTCAAGCTTCGAAATGTAAACACTCTTTGACAAAAGGTGAACACCTTTTCATGCATAATAAATCAATTAATTTAGAGAAGGGTAGCAGTTGTTAGTTTTTTTTCAATAATTATAGATACTAAATGTGAACGATGTTAAGAAAAAATATAGAAATTATTTAGAAATTATGTAGAGATTATTTTATTATTTATCAATAATAAAAGATTTGCATCGAAATTATAACTTTTGATTTAGCGTTATCGAATCACAAAATGGTTACAGGTTCCTAGGGGAGGTATGCAGATCTGAGGTCATTTATTGCTTAGTCTGATGAAGTGATAAACAATAATCCAGTCAAGGCATAGAGGGGGGTATATAGAATTCTCGCAGTAAATAGAAAGTAAAAGTGTTCAACTGCACTGACTCAACTACCCTTAACATAATAAAAAATATACTCTTATGTAAGAGAATATACAATATATATAATGAGTACAGTCGTACGTACTACATACAGGAGAATAATTAAATACATGCAGGTTAATAAATATTAATTGTATTTATTAAAATTTTATTGCCATATTTATATTTTATGTTGTATTTAAGTATATTTTTAATAAAACAATCATTACGATGACTGGATATGAAGGAACTGACAAAAAATCTTGGTAGTAGTGTTTAGTATGGAAAATTACTTTAAGATAATGTGTTCAGTAATTTAGTGTAGTAATAAAATTTGTATATACTTGTTTCTATAAGATTATAATGCTATCGAATTATTAATAAACTGAGGCAATCAATCTTATTTTTCCCGTATTTTGTAAAACATCAGCTGATTTTTATGTTGTAAAATTAGGTTAGGTTTAGTTATTCCGGCAATCTTAAGTATCCACTTAGGTCTATTAGGTCCCATTGTGTTACTGCATAAGAACTGTGAGGGTAAACGATTGTTTACAGTCGTTTGTAAAAACATAAATACTCTTCAAAAGGAAGTCCTGAAGGATACAAGATCCTTTACAAAGTAAGCCCGTAGCACAGTTATTTGACACTGAGCATACGTTGAACAGTAACAAAGGAGAAGTGAGGCATTTTTATTGTGTGTCGCATAAATGCAACAGGAATAATAAAGGGAAGACACAATTTTCTAGTATGGTTTCATAAACGATTGTGTCACATCAAAAAATCCTCCACAAAACTAATATTTTTAAGGGAAATCTCAATAAGATGGCTGCATATTTTCTTAATAGAACGTATACAAATGCTTCTTTATGATTAAGTTCTTCCACGACCTTTTATCTAATTGTTTAATATAGAAAGATTTTAACAATTGTTTCCATAATGCCAGCGGTATGACTCGATCCTTCAGATGTTCTGAATGATTACCCCAAACACGCAGAGTGGGCTGCTCGTCTGACTTGCAATTGCCGAAAATATCCCTATGACCGGAAACTCAGTGCAGAATAATGTTAAACTGCGTCGACATTTACTTTAGAGATGTGAATCAGTCAAAAACTGTTCTGGATGAAAAATTAAATTGAAATTAGAATCTTTAAAACAGCTTGTTCGTCGGATAGAATGCATGCATTTCTATTCATTGCGTTATATACTTCCAGACAAGCTGTAGCTTCTTTAGTACCGATTATTCTGTTTGAAAAACACTGCATTGATCATAAAGCTTATATTACATATAAGATTTTTTTCAGCACCTCAGAAAAAACTGCTTACATGACTATCTAGTTTTGAGTCGTCAGTATATATGGTTACATTCTCTACCATTGACAGACCTTCCGATAACCAAGTCTCTATTTGAAAAATCGACATTAAGTGTCCTGTTGAAATTGAGAATGGGAAGGATAAGTCAATGTCTCTAAGATTGGGACTGAAGATATTTAGAATAATGTTTTGGCCAGAATCAGTAGGTTTTAACTGTGAAGTAGGTTTAAGTCTAAGAAGAGAGGATGCCGCCATTTTCTTACTTATAAGATCAAGTAAAGCATTTGGTCTAATGTAATGGATGAAATTGTACTCAATACACCTTTAATAAAGAGTTAAGCCCTAAGCCGCATCCTGTAGAGTGCCATACAGTATGAAGGTTTAACCAAGCCCATCCACTATACTATGACGCTATACAGAAATGTAGGTCTTATATTGCTTATTGTTACATAACACCTTATGATTATAATCTAATTAGAGTTAAAAGAATAGATAAGTTCTTCATTAGATCAGCCATTAAATCGGTAATTACATATGGTATGTCAAGCTATTGCTTAGATCGAAACTATTGTTTTCTAGTTTTTAAGGAAATTGATTTTAAAAAAAGTGATTGCTCTTTTTTTTTTAGCACAAAAAAATTAAAAATTAGTTGATAACATATTCCTATCTTAAAAATTTTACCGAAGGAAATACTTAAAGGGTGGGTTCATTCAGATAAATGACATTTGGTCACTTTACCGATTTTTGAGTTATTGAGCTATGTCTATATGTTTCTATTATTATTAAAATAAAATAAAACTTAATGAAAATTTTACTTCTACACTATATTGATTAAATTTTTTCGACGGTAAGAGCATGGTATATATTTGGAATATTACGTTGTTAATGACTTAATTATCATAAAATATTTTCAATATCAAAAGTTTTTCAATCACACTAGCCTTGTAGGGTACTACAATTCTTCGATTAAATCTTCTGCAGTTTGAAAGAAATTAACTAAGCAGCTTAAATAGTTTATGTTTAAATAAGCTAGTTAGTTACCTAACTTATACCTAAATGGCAAAAAATATGAAATAGTTAATTAAGATTAAGATAACATTTAGAGGTACCTAGGTTAACGTCTGCTTTTACAGGGTACTAAACCATAGGTAGTAACTTCTCAACGCGTGTCTACCAGTTCTCGAAGAAAGCACATCATAACACCTGGTGTGGCTATGTCCAGTCTTGACTAGAACTATGCTCAGCGATATCTCCAGCATTAGTATTGGCCAGACTCTTGCCTTTATAAATGCTTTTGGCTGATTCTAGCTTGACCTTCTTCTACCCATTATTACGAAGATTTGTGGATTCAAAACGGCTTTGTTAATTAACTGAGGACGATTCGTTTCTCCCTCCACTTCGACTAACTAACCAACTAAGTTTATCTTAAAAAAGCTTAAAATATAGATAATTGAATCCAACAAAGAAAAAAGACTCTTTTCAATGACAAAAACTTTATTATTGGTTATAACTAATTAATTTTATTTAGATTATTCATTCCCTTTTAAATGAGTATAGTTTTATTTAAAATTTTCTGTTGTTACTTTGGGGTAATATTTGTACCCCTAAGCTTTAGTATACTGTAATCTTATGTGCTTAAACTGAACTGACCTAAAACTAATACTTTGCTAATATCCTTTTGTACAATATTTAGAGAAATACTTATTCCTAATGGTATTGATTTCCCTTTGTGTTTAAATGCTCAAAAAAAAATTGCAGTTTAGATACAAAACTTTTTAGTTATGAATATTTTCTGTATATCATGGTTTATTGCCTTTATTTTATGATTCCACGTATGTTATTTTGATGATTTTTTTAAAAAGGTTTAAAATATAAGATGAACCTCCTTTTCTTGTGCTTCTTCTTCGCTTAATCTTTATATCCTATTAACTACCAAACAGAGCTTATTTTTCAAAATGAAATGAAAATTCATTATGATATATATTATATAAAAAAAATTAATATTCCCAAAATCTGTGGTTCTACTTTATAACAATGGCACCAACTTGTGTGTATGGAATTTGTATGTTTTGCAATGAAATAATTAAAATACTTTATATTCGGAGAATGCTCATTACACAACCCTTCAAGGAATTGTGCTGTAACCACACCACGCGAATGAGTAAATAAACAAGCCTTGCATGGCGTGAGCGTTATTGCAGCGCCTGCAGTGCAATGTGCAGCTATGTAAACTGCAGTTGCACAACACACTGCGGCATATTACATATAAAGATTTATTTTCGGAAACAATTTTAATGAAATACTTTCCAGGCAATAGAGACGTATAAGTACGTATGCAGAAGAATTAAAAAAATTTAATAAAAACTCAAATATTTTGTAGCTTAAATGCTTTGCATAATGCACGCCTTGCACACTTCCTACGTGTTTGACTTTGAATTAATTATAAACATAATATACTTGTGTTTGAGTCTCTAAGTAGAGGAAGTAGGGATGATCGGGAACAGAGTTGACTTACCTTTGAAGCAGCATTTTTTACTGCGTACTGCATAAATGCAGAGGCAGATTAAAATCAAAATGGCGGCAACGCAACCACCGGCAATGCCCAGCAAATAACTCATCTCCAAAGGTTCTGCATGTAAGTGCGGAGCGCGCGATTATGTTGCAATTGTTCAATAAGAATATTTAAAGTATCCGCGATTGATTAAATATGTTGTTGTTGTTGTTGTTGTAAAAAGCGCATTTTCCAGAATAGTTGAAATTTTTGTAGTTTCAGGATGTATGGAATTCAATCAGAAGTTTGATTAAAATTTTTCGTCAACAGTTAAAATTTCACATATAATTTACGCAGACATGTAAAGCAGAAAGATTTAAATAATATTAAAATTACAACATTTTTTTTTGTGAAATTAAAAGATTAATTTATGCATGCAAAGCCTCTTTACTTTGTTATTTAATTTTGTGAATTTCTCACATAATTTTCAAATTACACAATTACACATATACTTGCCTACAACAAATACAATAGCATTAAGTGCATTACTTTAATTTAAATAAATATAACATTTTAATTTTTATTGCATTAATAATTAAGTCACGTTTAATTTTAATATTCTCTTTTTTTTATTTTTTTTTCTATTTACTTTATTTATTAATTTGATTACTTTGTTTCTGGTATGAGTGAGTGTGGGCATGTGCATAAATACTGAATAATTAAATTTGCATTCATATGTAGATTACACAATTACACAACTACACAACAACACTACAGCACAATATGGCACAGCTGTTCTTATCGCTCACATTAATGAAAGCAAACAAATAAAATCTTAATTGCGAAGTGCGAAGGTGTGCGTGTGAATGCTGTGTGAGTGCTGTGTGCGGGCACGCTTTGCATGTGTGCGTACGTGTAAATTTGTGAATGCATCAAATTAGAAGTTAATTTATGCAAATTAAATTAAAATTGAATTGCTGCTAAAATAACAATTAAATAAATTACTTCGATCGAATGGCAGAGAATCGGACACGTGTTTAAATATGTGTAAGTGTAAGTGTAAGTGTAAGAGCTGTGGATTGGGAAGTATGTGGGTGGGTGAAGTATGTAGGGCAGACATTTATGATGACCTATTTTTAATAAACTACACAAAATGCATACAGCGGAACTCATGTGACATAATTACACAATATAGAAAAAGGATTGATGGAGGAGTGGTTTTGGGTTGCGATTGAAATACGTAATTATTTTGGTATTGATTGAAAATACATATTATCAAAAAGAGGAATTTGCATTTAAAATAATTAATACTTTAAAAAAAAATTTTAACTTAAATATTTAAATAATACTAAAAATTGAAGTAATATTACCATTGTGCTCATCCTGTTTCTTATGAATAAATATTAAAAATGAAAATAATTAACTCTAGTTCATATCTTTTAATTTTAGTTTTAATTTCAATTCTTAATTAATTTTCTTTTTTTTAATTAATTTTTTAATTTTATGTCTTAAATAAACAACCTAAGCCCAGTAATAATTAAAACTTATAAATTCAAATTCTGATTCTAGTTTTAATATTAATTCTAATTTCAGTTATAATTCTAATTCTAATTGTAATTATAATTGTAATTCCAATATTAATTCTAATTCTAATTGTAATTATAATTATAATTATAATTTTAATTCTAATATTAATTCTAATGTATTTTCTTATTGTATGTGTAAAATAAACAATCTAAGCCCAGCAATAATAGAAAAGTTTTTAACTCTAATTCTAGTTTTAATTCTAATTCTAATTCCAGTTATAATTCTAATTTCAATTTTAATTTTATTATTATTATTCTAATTAATTTTCTAATTTTATGTGTAAAATAAACAAACTACGCCCAGTAATAATCAAAATTTTTTTACTTTAGTTCTAGCTCTAGTTTTAGTTCTAATTTTAATTCTAATTCCAATTCCAGTTATAATTCTAATTCTAATTTCAAAATAATGTATCCATATCTTTTTTTCATGTAACAATAAAAATGATTAGAATTAAATGAAAACGGATTACTGATCAGTGCTAATAACTACATAATACTATTTTGCTATAAAATTTCTTAATTCCCGCAGAAAATATACTTAAAAACAGAACTTTCGCTATTACTAGTATTAACGATATTAGTTGCTTAAATTCCATAGGTTAGGGTAAGTTGTAGAAATATGGAATTTACTCCTAAGCTAAAACAATGCCATCTTAACGTAGTCTTCAGTTTTGAGACCTTAATGATAGCTTATAGAATTGGTATGATTATGGAATAAGCATTTAATTTCAGTTTTGACGTACAATTATGTATAAATATACTCTTGGTAATATTTTCGGGAAGAATTGAATTAAGATAAATTTATTGGTACTCTTAAAATTATGGCACAGTAAATATTCGATTGGGTCTATTTAAACTAGCATCTGTTTGATGCTTGAAATCAGTTTCTGGTAGCAGCATTATGTTACCAACAAAATGATTCGTGTAATGACAATATCTATTTTTCTTCAGCTTAATACACCTATATATACCAATATTATTTTATTATAAACATACAAACGTCCTAATTGTATCACTGGTATGACGATTAGCACGATAGCTGGACGCTAATCGTAGCGTAAAATTGAATTTTAAAATTAGTTTTTATAACAGTTTTCAGACAGCATTTTGTGGATTGAAATTTTACGTATGGTTGCTCTTGTAAGGTGATGAAAGCAATACATGCACTTTTTTTTTCTTCTGTCATTTTCGATATTTTCTAGTTTATATTTACAAGGGCATTTTATTTATATTGCCAGAACGGAAGAGTGAAAAACTTTATATACAATTTGATAAATGTTAAATTAATTATTAAAATTATTATTTTGCTTTTCTACATACACATACAGACACAATCAAGCAGAATTCATATATATGAATTTCAAATCTCTAGAATCGATCAGTTAGCAACCATTAAAAATTACTCAAGTGTGACATGGACCAATGACTTTATATATCTTAGTCCATAATGAGTACTTCCATGCAATTAATTCGTATAACTTTTGAATGTAAATGTTGATTTGTCATATCATATACAAACCTGTTAGAACTCCTAACGGTTTATATACTTCATTAGAGTATTATTAATTGCTTTACATATTATATTTATACCATAAATGAAATAATTTGTTTTAGGATAGAAATGAAAGTTATATTGCATTGGAAAATGCAGATTTCATTAAAATTACTGTAAAATTTTGTATTGTGTTGTGACATATAATGTTTAATTATTTCTCTTGTATTATATTTATTTGCTACA